TATAGAGAGCTCTTCTCATCAGGCCGGCCTGACGGGCTGCCCCGTCCGGCCGAGCCCGTTTGGGCACCTTCCCGGTGGAATTTTTTGATGAAATTTTTTGAGCATGTTCCTCATCAAGTCTAGTTTGTCCATACCAAATTTCAGCTCAAAATTCGATCGGAAAGGTCGTCAAATGATTTTTGCAAGTTAACTGGTCCGGAAAATACATATTCCGGACCAGTTAACTTGCAAAAATCATTTGACGATCTTCCCGATCGAATTTTGAGCTGAAATTTGGTATGGACAAACTAGCCTCGATGAGGAACATGCTCAAAAAATTTCATCAAAAAATTACACCGGGAAGGTGCCCAAACGGGCTCGGCCGGACGGGGCAGCCCGTCAAGCCGGCCTGATGAGATGATTTCTCTCTATATATATATATATATATTGAAGTCATATTTTCTTATCAATAAATTGGAGTTTTTTTCCTAAATAATGTTGAATAAACAGTTATTTACAAATTTAGAGTTGAGTTAAAAATATAAGTACCATTGAGCTCAACTGTAGTTAACAAGAATGAAGAATTGCGGTTCCAAGAATGAAGAATCGCCGAAGCAACCCAGGCAGTTAGGCACCCTAGGATATACTTCGTATAATAGTACTCCGTACTTCGTATGATGGAGGAGAGGCTAGTGGGGCCTAGGATATAAAAAACAACACCTTTTTTCTTCAAAGTTCTATAAAATTTCATTTTTGCTCCAATTTTTATAAAACATATACCAAAATTCATAATTTTTTATGATCTTTCATTTGATATCAATATTTTATATGCAAAATTTAAAAAAAAGTTCTTTAAACAACATTCTCATTCGCTAAAAAAATTCACATTTTTCAATCTTCATACGGATTATTTAATACTCCTTTCGTTCTTTTTATATTGTTTTGTTTTATATTTTTGAAAAATCCCACTAAAATTGTTTCATATCATACTTTCTCCGTCCCGCAATTAAGTTCTGTGTTTGACTTCACATATATTAAGAAAATAAATTTGACTTTACTGTGGAGTGCACTGTTTTGCACTGTTTGGACACTGTTTGACACTGTTTTGCATTGTTTTGATGTAGATTTATTTACCAAATAAAGAAGTAGGAACTTGTTTGGGACATCCGAAAAAGGAAAGTGAGAACTTAATTACGGGACGGAGAGAGTATTTGGTAAAGTTTGGGTGGCTCTAAATCTTTCTCACTTTATTCTTACTTTATCAATTAATTAATATCAACAACACAAATCCACTTTTCTTAATAATCGTGTTACCATCTTTCGTCCCAAAATAAAAGGATGGATGTAGTATTAAGTAAAGAAACAACTCTCAATGTATTACGAAAAAAAGGATATTGGATGAAAATGTCACTTATTAACATTTATTGACCATAATTATGTTTAAATTTTATATTAAAGTCACTATAAAAGTGTACTCCTATTCAATTAGTCACATTTTTGTTCATAATATTTATTTTAGTAATATTTTTTAGAGAGAAACTCTATTTTTTATCGTCAAAGTGGCTTTAAATTAATAAAATAGCATTCAGCAGGGGTACAAGATAACAAAAGGACCACATGTAACCATCCGCCCTTGGCCGAGACTTTAAGTTAATCACCTTTGACAAAGCAATATAACTCGCTAGACCTCTCATCCTCCAAACCTAATGCAAGAGTCTTACAGCATAAAATAAAATAACAACAAAACATAAACATCTTAAACTGGAAATTAAAATGCAGAAAAGATAAATAAACTCCAAACCGCTTCGATCAACCCTTGGCAGAGGTTCTGGTGAGGGGGCGTACTATCAGTACCACACCAATTGATTCTCCATTGACGATCAAAATCTGGAATACGCGAACCTCGTTCATTCCTCCTCGTCCCGCTCTCATAGCATGACCGCCACTAATTGTTTTGTTCTTCGCTGCCCAACCGTGTGAAGCCTCCATCTGCCTTCCCACTTCGCTGAAGAAGATGGCCGATCTCGTCAGAAAAAAGCCTACATCTATGCATGTATTAATCAATACTCATTCCTAGGATATTAAGTGAAAAGACTATTTGGTAAATAGTTGTTCAGCATTGACGATTTTGGACGGAAATGCTGAAATGAAAACTCTGCAAATAAGAGAATTTCGAGTTAGCGTTTTGAACTATAGTGTTTGCTACTAATTTTATGGTCAAACAGCTAAATTACCAAACATTTTCTCTCAACCCACCAACTTATTTCGCTAGTCAAACCCACTAACTCAATTCACTATTAACAACTTGCTAATCTAATCTGTTATCCGCTAATCGCTAACAACTGTCAAACCCGCTCATCATTCTAGTAAAAAATATAAGTATCCATATTCTATAAGAATACATTAATTTTAGTAATATTAGTTATAATTTTCTCGATTACTTAGAGCCCGTTTGGTAGCACAAAAATCGGCTGATTTGGTTTATTCTGCTGGAATTTATTAAGTTCTGGCTGAAGTGGCTGCATTGGCTGATTCTACTAATTTAAGAAAAAATTATTTTTAAAATATATGTTATTAATAAAATAGAGAAAAAAATTATATGTAAAAATAGGTAAAAATGTCATCTGCAGTAACTTCAGCTAATACAGCCAGAAAAGTAACTTCAATCTTACTTTTTCTTCTTATTAAATAATTCAGCGCGCGAAAGTAAAAATTATGTGTTTGGTGAAAAGTTGACCGATAAGCCCGATAAGTCGAAAAACAGTGCTGCCAAACGGCGTCTTAAGTGTTTTTCCTAAAACATAAGGTTGTTAAATAAGCTTAATTTTTTTAAAGTTTTACATATGCAATATTGGTGCCATATGAAAGATAATTAAAAATTATGAATTTTGATATATTTTGTATAAAAATTGGAGAAAAAATGAAATAGTTATAGCACTTTTAAGAAAAAAGATTTTTATTTTTTATTTTGGGCCCCACCTATGACTTCTTTCCTCAATTTCCGACGTGCAGCTTGGTTGCCTATGCGTATTCGTGAAATGTAAGTTGCCAGGTGGCGTATGTCATTAACTCAACCTCAATAATATAAATACTTTTTTATATTACATTACTTTAGAGAAAAACTCAAATTGACACCCTATGTTGAAACACAATGAGGGTCAACGTACAAATACTTTTTTTAAGAAAAAAAGCAGAATAACATACAAATATATGTATGTGTAATAAAACCCTAATCATGTATATTAATATTATTCACGTAGTATTTACTAGTTTCACTGAATGATGCTAACACATATCAATAGGGATTATGAACACACTAAAGTGAAAATGATTCTTTATTTCAAAAGTCGCAAATAAATCTACTAAAATACAGTCATAGGAAGCATCTTCTATGACTGTATTTGTGACTAAATATAAATTTGTACATTATGTTGAAAGAATGACTTAATAACTTCTCATTCATATGATAATCACATACGTACAATAGATACTTATTGAATATATTTTCAGTGTCAGTGTGCACTAGCATAAATATCATAACTATTAATAGTGTTTGAAAATGCTAAATATCACAAAATTATAGAATACTTTAAAATATAAAAATTGAATCAATTATGTCTAGACTATTTACACCTATTAATGAATTCATTTATATTTCCATTTTTATCTCTAAGTAATACTAGTATTAAACTAAAAATTTTGACACCACTCAAGATGTTTTCTTTTGGACTGTTTTCAGTCCCAGATCAGACCAGACCAGACTAGACCAGACCAGATCAGACTTTTGTAGTTATAAAATACACAGACACTTGGCGTTTACCGGACCAGACCAGATCAGACCAGACCAGCAAATTTCAATCCAAAAGAAAACATCCTCAGTGACTCAAATGAAGCTTTCGCTCTATCCCTGTATATTATTGGTCTAATGGACTCTTAGGCTAACCGCAACTCTCTTCCTCAATAAATCAAATCTCCTACCAGTTGAATGAGTTTATACGTATTCAATGAAAATTTTTGTGTAATCCAACATTGTCAATATATTCACCAAATAATATTTTTTAGTTAAAATATATACTTTTATTATAATAGGTAAATTTTTACCAACTTTTATTTTTTTTATTTCAGATCTATTTTTTGGAGATGTAAAAAATAAAAAATAAAAAATACTCCGTATTAAGCAACTACACCGTATTAATACGCCATGTACACAATGTAAATGTTCAATACATAAAGTAATTGGACTATTTAACTCCATTTTTTCACCATTTTTTCACCATTTTCTTATACTCGGTATTAGACAACTTACATTTCGACTTGCTTCAAGTTACATTTTCCATCAACATGAATTACATTACTTTATACACGGGTCACACCACCCTATTATTGAAATAGAAAAATTAATAAGTGTTTTAGGTGCGAGAGTATATTGCTCACCGTGTGATGCACCCTAGGTATAACGGCTAGTTAAAAAAGATAATTGTTTCATTCATTATAGTGATAAAATTCATATTATATACGAAGGAAAAAACAAATTCAAAATATAACTAGGACAGAATGAATGTATATGTAAAACATTACGGCTATATGATCGAATATAATCCGCATCCTTAATTAATCAAGTGAGCTAGTGTAGGAAAGTTCATATTATATACTTGTATTTGTATGTGTGCATATATTATGACTTATGTAGTTATGTAATTAGAAAATTCCTGCGATTACAATCCAATGAATCTTTATTATCTACAATGTTTTTGTGAACTCCGTTTACTGTTTGAATGGTTATTTAGGAATGTTCATATTATATACGAAGTACTTCGTATGTCTGTATGACTGTATATTATCACTTATATACATGTATAATATGGTGAAATATACTCACATTATTTCATCCCTCCACTCTAACTTAAATTTTACTACGTACTATATTTCTTTCAGATCGTCTTTAAATACCCTCTTCATTATTTGGTGAAAAGAATTTTAACAATTTAATCTACTTCTGCTGTTTCAAATAAAACTACTTGCACAGTCAAAGCAATACAATTTTCTTGAAATCCGTCAAAATCAAAATAAGATTTATATAGAAGCGGATGGTGTGATGATTTAAACCCCTCAATTCTCTGTACAATTTAAGATGACTCTAGTACAGTTATCAGTGAAGAAGTAAAAAAAAATGTAATTCTCTGTTTGATAACAGCAAATATTTGTGAATTTTGGGAAGGGGGTAGAGTTTACAACTCAACTTTTCAACTGAATTTGAGTTTGCATCCCATTTTCAGAATAATTCATATTTGCACCACAAACATTGAATCTTGCACTCCACTAGTTTTTTAAATTAGAGTTTGTCCCCTCTTTTTTACGATTTTTTGTGTGCAAACACTAATATTTTGAAAATGGGGTCCAAACTCAAATTTGGCAGAAAAATGAGATACAAACTGAGAAGTCCCTTTTGGAAAATGAGATTAATAAGGAACCAGATCAGGATCAGGAGAGAGATCGGTACTAGATCACTTTGAATCTTCAATATGCCAAGCTTCCACATTAACCCACGAATGTAACAAACCTCAAATTCATCAATGAAAAATGTGCCACCTCGAAACTCCCGCAACTGAAGGCAGTGCTAGTCACAGAATCTGAAAATTTTCAACTGTGAAGCAATCTGCCACTTTGAACCGCACACTACCACCTTAACACCTTGATGTCACAAAGGCTGAGTTTATCAACTAAAAAGCAAACTGCGGCGGCGGTCTACTCTATAAAAACCAATTGAAGAATTGGTGTGACCATTGGACGAGATGCACTGGTGCATTAATCTCCTGTGTTTCTTTTTCCGACGCATAAAGTCTTCAGTGTCCAAAACATAGGAGACCTTGAAGGTTATGATTAAAGCCAAATTATTAAGAAGATCCACCATTTAGAATTTTTGTATCATTCATAATGTACAGACCTACAGACAGTGCTTTATGTTCAATTTACCTTCAATGACTTGCTAGCTATCTTGCATTCCAGACTATTCTTTACTTGAAGTCCCTCCATTGCCTTGCGTGTAGCGGAAGTTTCATTCAGCATTGCATATTTCCGTTTATTTCTGTATGTAAGAACATTATGATAGAATAAAATACTTGTAATGTCAAATACAGTAGAGTTAGTTCCAATTCCATCTCCATATCTGGTATGACTCTTGATTTAATTAGAAGCTTCATTGACTACAATTATTGGCAGTCAATTTAATTTTTATTTCTAGATTTAGGCTGCCATTGGGACAGAATCTTGTCAAATTGAAAAGGTAGGACCAAGTGTTGAAATACCACACCATAACCAAAGACAGAAATTGGAATTCACTCAATGCAGTAAAACCTTTGGCAAATACCTCTTTAAGAACACTCCACGGAATTCCTTTTGCCCAGTAGCACATGAGAGTAGTTCATTGCTCAAATAAGCAACAAATTTTGGGTCCATAACGACACCAGCCACTTCAGGCTTATCAGACCCATAGTCCATAAGCTGGATGGACAACTGTGTTGGTGAAGATGACTGCAGCATAATATTGGGTTGTCAACATGGGTAATGTATTTCCATCTTCTGATAATAATTCAGATGTTATAATGTTATATGAACATGCAGGGAGTTAAAAAACAGAAACTCACACATTCTATTCTATATATGTTCTCATCATGAATAAAAGCGCGAACATTTTCATGATAAACGACATCAAAGGACAAGCCAGCTTTTCTTGATTGTTCATACATGTATATCTGGAGAAGTTTGTTTTCCGTGTCATCAGTTGCAATCGTTTGGAGCTATATACAATGGAGGGAAAGATGTTAAATAAGCTATGAAACGGAAAGCTTTTGAAACCAGCTAAAGAGAGTACGAGGACAAGCATTTACCTGCTTCACTAATTTATATATCAGCTTATCTAAGGTGAAGAGGAGATAGGATTGGGCTCCAATGATAGCTCGGCAGTCATCCTCAAACTTTGCATTGTCAGAGGAACCATCAAGCAGATTGCGCAGTGCAGCCATAAACCTGCAAGACAAGATGACATAGATAGGATTCATGGTCATAACCAGTTGTCAGTAAAATAAACTCAAATACAAAATAGCTGCATATGTCAATAACCTAGCATATATATCAGTGGGGTTTGGAACGTTTGACCCTCTCCATCTGTTCTCAACTGACGAAGAATGCAACTTTGCTTTGTGCATTCTCTCATACAAGGTCTGAAATTAGAGAGAGTTAATAAGTTTTGCAATACCATCCAGCAAATCTCCAGCGATTTCAAGCCATGTTACCTGGTGAAGTCTAAACAACACATAGAAGGAATCGTTTCCATAAAAAATTCTCGAGCCATCCTTGTCATGCAATGCTACAGGAACTAGTGTGGTGAGAGGCTTAGCTGTTGTCTGTATGCCACTCACCAACAATGGCAATGGAACTCCATCTTCAGTATCATGAGCGCCATCCATTCCCTCCACCTCACCTTCGCTCTCAGCCTTGTGGACATTTTGGTCACCGTCTTCATCATGAGAGCCTTCGCCATCAGCAGACTCACTTCCTGAAACATCACCATGTTCAGATGCATTTCCAGTGTCTTCTGATGTCCTTTGAGCACTTTCATCACCTTCATCATCTGCATCAGCATCATTTTCACCTCCAGCCACTCTACCACACGACACTTCTCTATCACCAGTTTGGTACAGTATGTTAGTGGTTGTTTCCTTTGTAGTTCGCAATGCAACTTCAGAGTCTTTACTTGATCCAAAATTGATGTCAAAATCATCATTCGAAGATAACTCACCCTCCTCTCTCTCCATTTTTAGTCTTTCTCCTGATTCTTGAGCTGGAATGCCATCTTGCACTACTTTTGTGAACCTACACTCCTGATGCACCAGACAGAGAAAACAATTAAGAGTAAGATGTGTGAGGGAGGATATAGTTGAATAATACATAACAAACTACAAGTATTAAGCATACCTTAACCTCTTTGAAAGTTTTTATATCAAGTCCACTATCAACAGCAGATTCATTTTCTCTGGAAGGGACAGCAGTGGCACAGGGCCCTATCAATGGTATATAAAAAAATAAGAAGTCATCAGCATCACCTTAATCGCATCAATACTGGAGTGGGTGGCACGAAATTTACAATCTCAACTAATTAAGTATCTAAAATTAGTTCTTCATCATCGTTACCCCAGTGCCGCAAAGGCTCCCACCAACAGTGGCGTAAGGGTAAAGGTCTGATGTACACAGTCTTACCCCCCTATACTAAAGCACAGAGAGACTGTTTCCGAATGACCCATGGTGAAAGTCGCGTAAAAAATTGCATGAACTGACAATTCATGCAAAGGAATACTTCAAAGATGGACTAAGAAACACTCAGCAATATTGATAATGTAAAACTGGAAAATGAGATTACTGGTCAAACAAGGAACCATTTGCAAATCAGAAGTGTTTTCTCTACCAGCTCTCCCATGGGTTTCCTTCACTGCAGCAACTCTTAAATGGGCCAGCTGCTGAGCAGAAATCATACCAACCATGTTGACAGCACTTGGTGAATTCCCAATATGAGGGGGGTTATGAAGAGCGTTAATCTTGGCAGCAGAACTATCTACTGTACTATGAGAGCCAATCTTTTTTACTAAGTCACTGATAGCAGCTAAGGAAACTCTGGATGAACTTGAGTTTTCAGGTGGACGGTCTTCATCTCCTTTTTTGTAAGTATGTGGTAGTCTGGAATTAATTACGGTGATACTGGCACTGGCAGGACTCCTAACCCTTCCCCCAAAAGCGACAGTGGTTATGGTTTCAGCAACACGGTTGCTGTTCTTCTCGATGAATTCTCCGTCCTCGGAAACTTGAAGACGAGTCCGAATTCCAACCATTGGTTCAACGAATGTTGTCCAAACTTTCATAACTTTATCAAGCTGCTCTGTGGTGCAAAATTCTTCACAGGAAAACTTAATGAGCTGATAAAGGTCCTTGTGGATGTCAGGATCAGGATATGTGAATTCCAAATGAGGAATCACTGGCAGTCTATTCCCAGTAGCAACAGAAAGAAGCACATCATCCTCTTTGCACTTTGTTTCACCGATTTCTTTTATTTCAGCCAATAATGCTGGATAGAAAGAGAAATGTATGATCTGTGAGGCAAGCACGTGCTTCATATCAACTTAAATCATGTTTAGAGTAAACAAGCATATAACATATCAAATAATTCTCTGGGAATCTAGAATAAGAAAACGATTTACATAGATCGGAAAAATTAACAAATCTAAGAAATCATTTGGTAGAATATAGGATAAGACACTGGATTGCAATTGTAACAAGTCGGCCATCTAAGCAGATTGGCAAATACCAAGTGATAATAATAAAAAAGATTATATTAATTAAAGTAAATCCTTGCCTATATCATATAAGAAAGCATTTGTGGGCATGCTTTCATCTGTAATTTTAACAATATATTGTGCATTGTTAGTAACATGTACCAGAAAAAAAAATAACTCCAATAGCAATTATGACTCACAAAGAAATAAATAGTTGCACTTCAGGATTTTTTTTGGCATCTTCCGTAAAAGACACAGCAGAAAAAATCAGATCAGTAACCTGAGCTATAACAGAAACACATATATTGGGGAACAACCTGGAATACAGAGTAGCAGAGAACAGGAGCGGAACCCATGATTGAAGATACCAGGAAGAATGTCGATAAACAGAAGTAGCAAGCAGTAAAAGCTTTATTGATGCATGACTTTTCAGTGATATTACCCCGAGCAGAAACTACATAGCTACAAAATATGTGATGGAAGAGGTGGAAGGGGTAGACGAGATTGGTGGGGCGATGATGGTTGTGCTTCTAGTATTATTTCTAGTAATAGAAGTATGAGATAAGCAGTACTTATGAGTTTATTATACTAAATGTATGACTTGTTTCGTATATCAGAATTTGAGAAACTATTATGACATTTTGAGAAAGACGGTCTGCTTCACCTGGGAATTTATTTACAGCCTACTGTGCCTCATAAGCCTATTATCTTCTTTGTACTAATTGCTATGCAATGCATTAGAGTAATAGAAAATCTTCAAAGGGTTGAATTATAAAAGTATATTAAAATATTAGAGACTAATTGTTATGGCATTAAATAATCAAAAAGGATATTCAGACAGTATAGAAGTATCATTTGTAATAAGGTTGAATCCCTTTTGAAACACTAGACAATGTAATAGACTTTCATTCCTATTGTGTATTTTCAAAGGATTGTACAAAGTGTGCATATAGCTACAACTAGGGCTATTGATAAAGTGGGCCAAGTCCAATACACTTGGGTCAGGAGTTCAGCATTGTCCCTCAAACTGGGGCATATAAACCATATACACCAAGCATGTTACAGATATATTCTATTATAGAATTAATTCCACTTTTGGTCCTACGAGTTTTATGTCATTTCCACATTTGGTCCACGTCTTCCACTTTGTCCACTTTTGGTACTTGACTAATGTTTCTTGACCCTTTGTTGTCCTTCTGTGGAGATTTAATCATTGGAAATATTGCCCGGAGGACCATATATGAGCAAAAACACAATAGTCATGTACCAAAAGTGGTCAAAGTCAAATACGTGAACCAATTGTGGAATTGGTGCGATACTCGTAGGATCAAAGGTGGAATTTATTCTTCTATTATAGAACCGACCTTAAAGACACTTTGTTAAAACATCTATAAGATGGTCTCTCATGCTAGCATAAATTGTGAAATTATTTTCATTTATAATCTTCTATCAAATAAAGTTACAATGAACCTCAATATATTTAATCCTCTCATGATATATTGAGTTAGATGCAATGTGCACTGCAGCTTAGTTATCACACATAAGTTGCCACTACTTTCATGCTTCCGTACTTCAATTCTTGAAGTAGGTATTTCAACCATAAAATCTCACATGCAACCAGGGCCATTGCACCGTACTCTTCTTGAACACTTGATATGACCACAATATCTTGTTTCTTACTATTCCATAAAATCACAATTTCACCGATCAAGATCCAATATATAGGGCTAAAGTATCTATATATCGAACATCGCCCAATCTGTATCGTAATATCCCACCGTGTCATTGTGATCTCAGTTTTTGTAGTGACACTTGACTTGTTTTTCAATGTATCTCAAGATCTGGTAGCTACATCCCAATGGTCAACATGGCTTATCCAGAATTTGGCCAAGTACACTTACTCTGAAGGAAGAATATATAAGGTCACGTAATTGTGAAATATTTCAACTTTTCAATGAACTTTTGTATTTCTACCAATGCGATATAGGCTCCTATTTTCAGGTAAGAGTTTGATATTTTGATCCTGCCTACTCGAACATACTCTTTTAGGTATTTTCAATACAGTACACAACAACAACAACAACAACAACATTACCCAGTGCCGCAAAGGCTCCCACCTACGGTGGGGTATGGGGTTGGATGTACGCAGCCTTACCCCTGTACTAAATCATAGAGAGATTGTTTACGGATGACTCGTGATGACAATCACATCGAAATTGCATGAATTGACTTGTTGCTTCATAAAAAATAAGCACAAACAATTTAGTGAGCCATTTTTCTTTATTCCATAATATTCCCAAGCCAAAAAATACCTATGAAAAATCGCTTCAAATCTACTGAAATGTCTATAGAGAATCGAATGATCAACATCGCTTCAAATCATGTCAAACCTAAGAAAAACATCACCAAACTCCTCCTAATAACAAACCTCAATGGTTCAACAACAACAACATCCCAGCCTTGATCCTAAAAGGGTTTGGAGTCCGGTAACACGAACCAGCATATGACATCAGAGTCAAAACAAAAAAAAAACAAAAGAGAGAAAAGGGAAAACGGGTCACCCCTCCGCACATATACTCTCCCTCCATTTTGCTCTCTCCAAAGTCATACATTCACCTAACCCATGAAGTACTATATCAGTTTTTATTGCTCTAATCTGCATCTGTCTAGGTTGCACCCTCCCTTTCCTCCCCACCTCTCACTTCATATAAAGGTGTTTTTCTCCACCTCTCACTTCATCTAAAGGTGCACCTCTCAGTCTTCTACAAATATAACCAAACCACCGCCATCAAGACTCTCACATCTTATCTTCAAATGGTGTTACTCTTACTTTTGGCATGATCGTCTCTTCCTCACGCGGTATTCTTAGTATGTCATACATTCAAAGAAACATCTGCATCTCAGTCACGCTCACGCTCAAGAATGTGACATTGTTTCACCTCCCAACACTATACGCAGTACAACAATGCAGGCCTAATTATTATTTGATAAAATCTACTCTTCAGTCTAGTCGACATCTCTCGATCACATAGAAATCCTTACACACTCTTCCTATTCATCCACCCTGTTTTGATTCTATGGGATTATGGGACACATCTTCATCAAATTCATCGTCTTTACTCTTTTTGAATTATGTAGCCCAGGTAACTGATTAGAACTCTATGGGATATCCTTTTTAAGGGGTGAATAGTCAAGAAAAATGTGTTTGACTCACGTAGCACAAAGTTATGGACATTCTAATATTGTATCATGAACGAACCAAACACATCCAAAAACACAAAGGGAATGAAGGAAATAACTCACATGTACGGAACCTACAAAATAAGTAATATCGTTATCAATTTCCGACAAAGGCATTATGTTAGCCAAGTGACATGTAGTGAGAATGGTTGCGACCCAATACTAAAATGGTGTATGAGTACAATAAGTGCAAGTAGAATAAACCAAATGGCGATTCTTACATTTGGTATCACACTATCACATTTTGTTGAGATGTGTGAATGCGAGAAGACTCGTGGAGCATTTCATAAAAGTCATGAATTAAGTATGCGGTGTTGAAAAAAATGCTTTGGCATTATTAACAACAACATTCAAGCTTTAGCCCCAAAATAGTTTGAGATTGACAAACATGAATCGACATATAAAATTGGAGTTAACAGGATAAAAAGAGATCAATCCTTCACACATACATTCTTCCTCCACTTCGCTCTCAACCAACCCAAGACTTTGACATTATTAGTAACATTTTTATTGAGCAACCAAATTGTGGCAGAGATGCGCATGCTGCGTTGGATGTGTGGGCATAGTAAGAAGGACCACGTGAAAAATGAGACAATCAGACAAAGGGTAGGAGTAGCGCCTATTGAAGACAAGATGCGGGAGTCGCGCCTCAGGTGGTTTGGGCATGTGCGTAGAAGAGGCGGGGAATTGAGGGAGATGAAGACCCAAACAGACGTGGGTTAGGGGAGTCCGAAGTGATATGCTTCTTCTTGGGTTGGATGAGTGTATGACTTTGGAGAGAGCAAAGTGGAGGGCGGGTATTCGTGTGGAGCAATGATCTCGTATTATTATTTCCCCTCCTCTTCTTTTTTCTTCTTTTTTCTTCTTTCTCTTTCTCTTTTTTCTTCTTCTTGTTTTTTATTCTTTTATCCCTATATATATAAACATTATTTTTATCCTTTTATTTTTTCATTTTTAGGTATATTCATCTCTTTTTATATTATCTTTTTATAATAGCTTATTTTTTATCTTTGTTTTCTTTCTTTTCCTTTTGGTGGTGATATCATGTATCGATTCATGTTAGCCGACCCCAATATCTTTTGGGACTAAGGCTTGGATGTTGTTGTTGAACAAAATTGTGTCCGTGTTTCAGCACAAAATTTGCAAGATTTGGAATAATTCAAATCATTCTCAATAAAAATAACCATGTGGCTGAGAAATTGTTGTCCGAGTAACTAAATAACGCAAAACTAGAGTAGATTTGACAAAATACGAACCCTAAACATTGCGATTAACTAAACTAAAATGGGATGTTGCTCATTTATTGACTCTTCATGGGTATGACTGAAAGACGTATCTTCCAAAACATCGCGACTCACAACCTATGAAGGGAAAACAAGATAAGCCTAGAATAATTCTCCGAAGTTTTGGAAGGCTTGGAAGACCTATGCGGTAATGTAAGATAATCGCTGACTCAACTGACACATAAGCAATAAATGACGTCAATCACTTTCCCACTACAACTGTTCTGCACAACCACAAAACTGTATTGTTTTGAACATACAAGACATCTTCAAAGGGTAAGGATGAGGGTGATATGCGGTAAATTTGAAGGTTTAGATAAATTTGATAAAGATAACAATTAAAAAAGATGTGATCAGAAGCACATTAAAGAAGGATCCACAGACCGGAACTGTTTGAAAGATAAAATGCCTTGAAGTTTTGGTGTTCCTCAAATGAGATAGATGAAAGCACAACTGGATATGTGAACTTGCCTATTTATCAGGTCAGTTGAATTAGGCATGGTAGTCAAAGAGAAATAAGTGTCTAGAAATTTCTTGCTGGTAGGTACTAGGTACAGTGGTCTGAGAAATTTCCAGACACAGTAAAATGAAACCAAATTCTCGTGAAAAGATCACGGAGGATAAGCTTTCTTCTGGTGTAGGCAGTGAAGAAAATGGAACAGCAGAAAGCAGACTCATCTGGATGTAAACAGTGCAGATTTCTGAACTCTAAGAGAAGGGTGTGTAGCTTTCTGACGGCAGGATTTTCCAGTGGTGGGTCGTATTGACGTTCGAGGTGAGCAGCAGACTTGGTTTTGAAAATTCACTAGCAGAAAGGGCTGAGAAGATTAACTGTCGTGAAAAACACTGGAAAAAGAGAGTCGCACCTGAATCCTACATATATAGGACAAAAAACTACACCAGAAATCAGAATATATAGCCTGTGAAATACAATACTCTCATTCTTCTTGTGTATTTCCAAAGGATTGCACTAGGGTGTATCTTACAAGTTTCAACTAGAGCCAAGTACAAACACTGAGCTGGCCCATAACACTAAGAGTTAGAATTTCAAGTTTCAAGTCTTTCAGCCAATTTGAAATTAGAAAGTTGAAAGTCATGAACCAATTTAGAAGAAGAAAGTTGATCGTTAGCATCACCAAGAAACTAAAATATTAACACAATGTTCTATGAAATGAAGTTCTCCACAACTAACTTCGATATTCTGGATTTTGAATCTATGAACAGCTACCGGATTTTGAATCTATGAACAGCTAGAAATTAGGACGTGTCAATTCTCAAGCATTTGAACGCGAGCTTAATTGGCAATTTTTAAAATTACTGAAATGAACTAGTAATAGCAAGCAACGTCTACCATCCTTAAACATTCAAAATAGATCTAAGTGCCATAGAAGCACTCAACATATTCAAACATATCAAATGCAACAAGGAAAAAGAAACCATGGTATCCCAGTACTTTCTACATCTGAAGTCTCAAATATCTAATCGAGACTACGCCTTCTAAAAAACTCAAGATGAGCTATGGCTTGCAGAATTTACGTCATAATGTCCATGACAGGTAAAATTTATTCAGCATTACCTTTAGTACTCAAGCTCTTTGTGTCCTGCTGCTTGAAGTAGAAGCTACGGTGGTCCAGTGACTTATGATAGTTTTTAAGATAAATATCAGCCCAGACTTTATTATAATCATAACGACACCTTGCCCACTCCTCTTGTTTCTGCTTTAATCGTGTCAGAACTACAGGCAGAGCAAGTGGTGCATTCTTCCTCAACACATCCATAACATCAGGCCCATGATCAGCGTAAAGACGTTCGATGCATCTTAGGTTAAGAACTACAGAAAATAAAATTAAGTACTCAACTAGATATGATAATATGTACGAATTTAAAGAAAAAACCACCACTTTAACATGTTACCATTGAGATAATCTTCAATTCGAATGGGATTATTTATTGCATTATTATTGATCTTATCAAGCAGATCCTCAACACGTCTAGTAGTCACATTTACAGATTCCAACAGCATATCCAACTCAAACCTGGCATCACGAAAACACTAATAATTAAGAAGCCATCTGCTAAAAATAAAGCATGCTACTCTTCAAACACACGCAAAGCTTTAGGAATAGGTAAAGCACTGAATAGCTTCAGATCATACAATTATACAAATATCAGCTTCTCTATTCTCCAGGTCTACTAATCCTTGATCTCCTATCAACTTGAAAAATAGGATTAAATCAAACTTGCACATTGAGAAACATGCTAATTAAGTATTTCACTAAGATAATGGGAAAAAAGTTATAGAAATTAACTGACATAAATAGCTGAGAGACTGTTTTAAGCATAGAGTATACGACTGCACATGAAAAAAGAATAAACCATCCATCCAATGGAAATATATTCCTCCGACTTCCTTCACATGGCTACAACAGTCAACTTTGTACTCCCTCCATCCCACAATTAAGTTCCCACTTGTACTTTTTGGGTCAAACTTTATAAACTTTGACCGTTAATAATTCATAATTTACATTACTTTATCATACAAAATTAATTCTATATACTTCATTAGAATGTATATTATTCCAATATTAATTTATGTTAGATTTTATAAGTATAGATTTTTATATATTTAAAGTCAAACGTACACCTAGAAGACCGTAAAAATCAAACTGGGAACTTAATCGGGGGACGGAGGGAGTATTATATTGCTAGAATTTTTAGGTTGTTCAACCAAATTAAAAAGATAGAGTAGAATTGCAACTTTCTCATCAGATGACCAAAGCATTGCATGAGCATACAGCTAATAGATAATAATACAAAACAGAAATTTTTATGAGAAAAAAAAGGTCAGAAAATAGTTCTGTTTTGCTTCACACATTAGGTTATATTGTATGACCGTCTAGATAAGGGTAATATCCAACCTGTCATCTTCACATCGAAACAAGCTCTCTTCATATTGGTTTTTCCGCATATGTTTAAAAGAGTAATCTTCACTCCCGGAAGTTACAGATACCCAATGATCATTCAATACCTCTTTTCCTATATGGGTTCTCTGGCTTGATATCGGAATTGGATACTGGATTAAGAAAAACACAATTCAAAACAACATACACACATAGGCTTCATATATAAGTACCTTGGATTATCAAAGTTATAAAGACAGATAATTACATTCTTTGGGAGGAGCCGGTAACTGGGAGTGCAATGGTCACAGTCAGAGAGGTCAAGTTCATGTATAGGTTTTCCTATATACTTATCCTTGTTTGAGAACATTTTCTGCTCTTGTAAGTCTTTAGGCATGTCTCTTTCTTTGGCATCAACATCTTGATTTTTCTCTTCACACTCACAACCCCCAACTTTATCCCTATCTTGAGTGTCTTCTGCCTTTACCAACCAGGGACCTTTAACATCATTCCATAGGGATGCTGAAGGTAATGACTAGAAGTTAGAGACTATCACTATCTAGACAATAGTTTGGTTCCAAGCAGTGTCTATTAGTAATGAGGTATTCGTCCATTTCTTATATGTGAAAACTAAATTACACTTGGTCAGAAACTCAGATTATAATTCATAATGCTGGAGAAGAAAAGTAAAACCCTTTGGATATTAGAAAAGATCAGGCTTACATGCATTTACTTAGAGTTCAGAGTTGCAGGAGAAGAAAAATAAACTCTTTGAATATTAGAAAAGAACAAGCTTACATACAATTATTCAGAGTTGCAGTAAGGTAACCATCTGAAAAAGCACCAAAATAGATAAGATAAATATAGCATGCACAAATTAAACTCGAAGGAGAATAGAATGAAAGCAACATTTAAGGATAAAGAATACAATTAAACTAAGATTTAAATAACCACCTATTTTATCACAGTGAGTTAGAAACTGATTGAAATCGTCCTTAAGGTCCAGGTGTCCTTCAAGTAAGTCATTGACCTGAATCAATCAGATTGCCATTCCATAAATCCAGAAACTCTTGACACAATCAAACTATGCAGTCATCATAACAACACATCATGATTTTCACATTTAAAATCACGAGGACATAATATCAGGACATCATGTATATTTAGATACTTCATATGTAGTACTACCTCCGTCCCCATATTATTGTCCCATTGCGGTTTACGATGTTTGACCGACGATAAAGCAAACGGATCCCTGTCCGCACTCAAATTATTTTTTGAAAAAAAATTACATATTCAGAAACTACATTAAAAGCTTTACAAAGTCGCAAAAACTAGAATCAAATTTGATAAATTTTGATATATAAAGTAAGATACTAAGAGTGATTTGTGTTGACCAAGTGAATAGGAATTGGGACGGAGGGAGTATTTAATACTACCTCCGTCCCACTATGCTTGGGACAATTCGGTTTACGATGTTTGCCCGACGATAAAGCAAACAGATCCATGTCCGCACTCAAATTATTTTTAGGAGAAAACAATTACATATTCAGAAACTACATTAAAAACTTTACAAAGTCGCAAAAACCAGAATCAAACTTGATAAAAATTTGATATATAAAGTAAGAGATTAAGAGTGATTTGTGTTGACCAAGTGAATAATGTCTGGGACAATATAAAGTAAGAGATTAAGAGTGATTTCTGTAAGGCACACTATCCATGCACTCCATGCAGCATCCATGCAGCAGCACTAAACTGTTTGCGCTTATGTGTTATGAAGCAGCAGTCAAGCAGTAGTCAGTCCATGCAAATTTCGACGCAATTTTCATTGTGGGTCATCTGGAAACAGTCTCTTTGTGTTTTAGTGCAGGGGTAAGACTGCGTACATTCAAACCCCCTTACCCCACCGTAGGTGGGAGCCTTTGCGGCACTGGGGTAATGATGATGATGATGTTTTATTATTATTATTTAAAAAATCCTATCATTGCAATTTTGCTTTTATGTAGTCCTATTTAGGGAAATCTTCCTAAATATTATTCTAGTTTATATTACTACAGTTACTAATATTATTTTCAAAAATGAAATTAAGTTGAACTGTCAAAAAATACAAACTATCTAAATCACCAAATGAATAAATTATATTTTGATTTTCTCAACATGCTTTACCCGTGCATTTCACTACTTCAAGGAAAATAACAGTGTCAAAGCTCCCACAGAACATGGAAAAAAATTATACATTAAGATCTCAAGATTATATATCAAGCAAAACAATGAAAAGTATAAAAAATAATACCAGGGATTGCAATTGTAATTTTGTGATTTTTTCTTCCAAATATGTGTGCAGACACTTCAAGAGTTGCTGGTAATAATCACAATTCTGCAGTCTTTCTTTGATATTCTCAAACAACAATAAATCTTGATCAAGCATATCTGCCAATACATAAAGCAGAACTCAGAGTACTATTTGGTAGACAAAAGTAGTGGTTAAATCAATGACATGTTTTAATTGGTTATAAAGACCTTGGTAAATGATCATATCACTTTTTAAATCCTTAAAATCAACAAAAAGGGTGAATCAGGTGAATTCGGTGTCTTTGAAAACATTGCACACCTTGCTTAGGATAACTTTCACTAGCATCTTCTCTGTATAGAGATTTCCTGTTTAACTCCTTTTCATCAAAATCCCTTTCTCTACTTTCCTGTCCGCATTGTTCTGGGGAAGGCTGATCCAGACCATGGCCATTGTCTGCATGCAACTCAGTGGCCTTCTGGAACCAGCAAAGAAAATAAACTTATTATCTTAATTCTTTTCAAAATGTATCAAATTATCTGTAAGAACTAAGAATCTACCTTTTCACCGGTCTTTCCTGCGATCACAGGAGACATTGTATCATCACGATGCAAGATATGGGCTCCATCGACCAAAGCTCTTGCCAATGAATTTGGTAAAAAATTGGTGAACTCCCCCAGCAAGTCAGGGTGCTCACTAAACAGAGAAGAAACCTATAAAAAATACCAATAACAATAATAGCACCAGGCCACCAGCATATAGAAGCAGCATAGCACAAGGGGAGTAGACTAGTAGAGAATTTAAGTGGTGATTACCATAAGGTACAATTGTGTGTACTTTTGCATGCAAAGTACACTTCTCAGCAGAATCATGCGCACATACACATGTATATATACACTCTTTAAAATTACATCATGTACTTCATGAAAATTAAGAATAGGACATGACATGTTCAACTTCTTGCATACATACAAACATAGGCATATGTGGTAACTATATACACATATTTGTTTAATATATACTTAAAATAAATATACTATGTAAATGCATGTAAATATATATACACAAATATATGATGTCTTTATGTGCATATGTGTTTTCTATAGGGTAGCAAGCCAGTGAAGGATATATGGTACAAAATGTTATACTGAAAATGATTTAATAAGCTGGAGACTTAATATTGTATAATGTCCATCATCCTTCTAAATTGTGGAATAAGATAGTGTGCCTTACAGAAACAAAGATGCTCCTCATACATACTGACATATGGATAAGTGTGCACATACAAATTCTTCAGTTCTTGTTATAGGTCTATGGATAGACATAAAAGAGAAGAACACGAGATTGTATACAAAGGAGCCATGGAGTAGAAAATAATTAACCCCGGGTAAAAAAATAATTAACAACACTCTCGCCCTTGTCAGGTCGCATGCAATTTAATTCTCCAAAAAGAGGCGGCTAACACAAAGGGGGCAGATAGGAGTTGATGCCACCCCCAAATTTTTAAGCAAGTATAATACTATAATTACATCAAATGTTAAGTCTCTGAGAAAGATGGGGCAAAAGAAAGCAATGGGTCCAGATGGCATACCAATCGAGGTCTGGAGAAGTTTGAGAGAGACATCGAGTGATTAACACATTTCTTGAACAAGATTTGAAGAAGCAACAAAATGTCAGTGAAATGGCGGAAAAGTACTCTTATTCCCTTATTTAAAAATAAGACTATCGAGGGATTAAACTTATAGTGACGCCATGAGATTTTGGGATTGAACAATGGCTCCAAAGAAGTGAAGACTGAAGAAGTGTGAAAATTTCAGACAATCAATTTGGTTTTATGTTTGTTCACTCAAGAATTGAATCCATTTACCTTCTTAGGAAATTTATAAAGAAGTATAGAGACATTACTAAGGATTTGTATTTGGTGTACCTTGGCTTACAAAAGGCATATGATAGGGTACCTTGAGAAGTTTTTTGGTGGACCTTAACTAGAAAAGACACATCACGTAAGTATATCAGCATCATCATGGTTATGTATAAGGAATGTACTATCCGTATTAGTGTAGGGAGGACTGCAGAGTTTATCGGAATGCACCAAGGATTGCTCTGAGTCCTTTCTTATGTATTATAGACTTAAGGTTATAGATGAACTTACGAAATCAATTCAAAAAGATAAATTGTGGTGCATGATGTTAGTCGACAATATTGATAAATTGTGGTGCATGATGTTAGCCAACGATATTGTTTTGATTGATGAGACACAATCGGGTGTTAAAGTAAAGTTGGAAGTATGGTGACAAACATTGGAGAACAAGACTTTCAAACTGAGTCGAAGCAAAACTGAATATATAGAGTGCAAGTTCGGTGGAGGTAGAAGCATTGTCACGAATGAATATATAGAGTGCAAGTTTAGTGGAGGTAGAAGCAATGGTGACAGTGAGATTACCCTAAATGGTTAGGAGATATTGGTCAGTGATATGTTCCGTTACTTGGCCTCCATAATTCAGAAGGACAATAATCTAGATGAATATGTATCCCATAGAATCATACCAGTGTGGATGAAATGAAAAGTGCGTCAAGATTTCTATGTGATAGAGGTATGCCGACTAGATTGAAGGGTGAATTTTATCGGACAACACTTACACCTTCAATATTATATGGTGTAGAGTATTGATCGGGGAAACAATGTCACATTTAAAAGATGAGCATGGCAGAGATGTGCATGCTGCGTTGGATGTGTGGACATATTAAAAAGACTGCTTGTGAGACAATCAGACAAAAGTTGGTGGTAGCACCTATTGAATATAAGATGTGGGAGTCTCAATTGCAGTAGTTTGGTCATGTGTATAGAAGACCGAGTGATGCACCTATTAAGCGAGTTGAGAGGTGTTGAGAAGAGGCGGGGAGGAGAGGGAGAGGAAGACCCAAATAGACATGGATTAGAGGAGTTAGGAGTGATATGCTAGGGCCTATGAGTGATATGTTTCTTATTGGGTTGGATGAGAGATGACTTTAGAGAGTGCAAAGTGAAAGGTGAATATCTGTGTGGAGGATTGATCTCTTTTCTCTTTTTTATCCTTTTATCTATTTATCTTCTTGTCTTTCGTATGTTCTTTATCCTTTTAACTTTTTTATATTATCATTTTTTTTTACTTATACTCCCTCCGTCCCTTAAAACTTTGTAAAAGTTGATTGGCACGTAGAATAATAAAGTAAAAACTATGTGGTTGCGGTTTGTGCAGAGGAGAGAGAATTATCAGGAGCCACAAATTCTTTGTTAAAAAGGGGAAAGTGGTACAACCTTTTAGTTGACAAAGTTATAAAGGACAGCGGGAGTATTTATCTGTCTATCTATTTTATCATACCTTATGTTTTATTGTCATCATCTTTCTTTTCTTTGTCTCTTATATCATGTATCGTTGCATCCACAAATTCTTTGTTAAAAAGGGGAAAGTGGCAAAGTTAGTGGTACAACCTTTTAGTTGACAAATTTATAAGGGCCAGAGGGAGTATTTATCTGTCTATCTATTTTATCATACCTTATGTTTTATTGTTATCATCTTTCTTTTCTTTTTGTCTCTTATATCATGTAACGTTTCATGTTAGCAGACCCAAAAATATTTTGGAATTAAGGCTTAATGTTGTTGTATGTATTATTAGGCATTATTTTTTTGAATCCACCACTTCCTGCAAAAAATACATTATTATTCCAAACTATCCACCTTTATAAAGCTATTAGAGGAGTCCTCTAAACAAAAAAAGGAAAAAGAGTTCTATAACTTAAAATAGTTAGCTAAAACACAAACACTAAAACCATCACGAAACTAGGATAGCATTCCCCAACTTGTGATTCTAGCAGCCCCATGGAGTGCGCCTTCTGTATGTTTGCCCCGAAATACGTCCATAACACATACACTTATGTGTGTTGGTAAGGGAATAATTAGTAATGCAAAACTACCTTTAATGTGCAAATAATTACATTGTAATTTTAATGTGCAAATTTTAATATAATTAGCAATTTATTGTTACTAATAAAAGTAATAATACAATAATCATTCACTATGGGACTGTTGGAACTTACTGTCAATCATCTTAATCCAAGACAACCTTTATACTCCCTTTGTCCCAATATTTTCTTCATGTTTACAGTTTGCACTATGATTAGGTGTGTAGTTAAGCTCAATTAAAAAGGAAAGAATTGATAAGGGCCAGACGTCTCTTTTGTTAAAAGTCAATTAGAGGAACTTTTTGGACAACAAAGAAAGAAAGACGATAAAAACATGTTGAAAAGAGAGTAAAAGACAGATGAAATCTGGAAATGTTAGTATTTACAATCTATGAGCATCTAACTTTCACTTATAACAATAACACCCACCCATGAAGCTAGCCATAGTCATTGAAAAGCTCTAAACGCAAGCCTAAGAAGTCTCGTTTGGGAGTAAGCCCAAGTCTTGTTTTCTTGAAAACCCCCTCTCAGGAAAAAATTGAGAGTTTTGGAAAGTTCTGCAACTTTGAATATTTTGAGGATTTTAATGAATAGTTGAAGTCGGAAAAAACAATCCAATTGTAAAAGGGTAATGTGAACAAAGTTAAATGAACTCTAGATTCTAGAATGATCACAGCCATTAGATGAATCTAACGGTTGAGATTCAATCCCGTAGATTAGTACTACCTCTGTCCCGGCTTAAGGTTCTCAAAATGGCATGGTTTTTAGACAACAATTAAATATTAACTCTGTCCCAAAATACTTAGCCATCTTTAAAACTTTGACCAACTATATACATTTATTGGAAATTATTTATAATTTAAAAATGATATGAAAATGTTCTTTGTTAAAAGTACTTTCATAAAACCATAAAATTTATAACCTCCACCATATTATACTAATCAAACTCATGGTAAAAGTTTTAAGATTTGGCAAAGTATTTTGGGACTGCGGTAGTAGGTAATTTGAGTATATTTTGAGAATTATTTTGGATAAGTACATTATATCATGGGATAATTGATGATACATGTATGTTTTAGGTGTATTACTTTTATTTTTGATGATTAAATTGTCATTTAAGAGTGCTAATTATTTCCTATAATAGAAATGGGAACCTTCAAATGGGACATCTGAATCTTTACCCGGGACAGAGGGAGTACATTTTTGAGATACTGATTGAAATCACACCATACATAGACACACACACACAATCAAATTATTTGTGAGTTGGATCTTTGAGTCGTTGGTTTCTAAAACAAGTTTGATTATATCAATACAACAACAAAAACAACAAAAACAAAAACATCCAAGCCTTATTCCCACCAGATTATATATCAATATGTTGATCTATATACTTGCCTCCAAATTTAACCATTTTTGTGAGCCCAAAATAGGCAGAGAAAAAATGAATATTGGTCCATTTTTAGTTGAATGCTCAAATCGAAATATGTGAGAAACAGCAAGTGAAAAGCATATACCTCTTGAACAACCTCAGAGATTAATTTGTTTTCCTTTCTATACTTTTTCAGAACGTCAAGGAAACATTTATACACGTGATCATCACCTTGAAACCTAGCCTGAGAGAAACAAATCCATCAGCTGAAAACACTGCAACAAAGTACACAGGAAAGCCTTAAAATGGCAAATCCTCACCTTTATCTTGTTTACAAAACCGATTGCCTCTTCAAATTCAACTGGCTTTTTCACCGGAGGTGGTAGTGGTTCATCCTCAGATTGTAGGGTGATCTCATATCCCTTTGGCAAGAATGTATTGAAGCCCAAAATTAAATTTTCATGCCCTTTAAATAGATTCTTCACTCTTGCTATGACGCAAGATGTGTCAATTCTGTTAACATTAACAAATGTTACATGAAGATGAATCAACAATGTCGTTCAGCTGGTAGTAAAAACAGAATTAAAAGGAGCCAACAAAATGTATTGCAAAAACATGGAAAAGGAATAAACCTTTGAGCTTTGAAATCTTTCATGACCTCAAGGAACTCATCATATTTGTCTCTTTTGTCATGAAAAATATCCTTCACATTCTTGAGATATGCAAGGGCATCACTTGCTGTTAGCTTCTGTGTATTGTTTCCACTCATCATCTGGTGCTTCCCTAGACTTCAAAGTCCACACAGCAAAACCAATTGAACGGTAAAAAAGCCATGGCCACTTTACATGGGAAAAATGCGGTAACATATAATGCAATATTGCATCGCTTTAGAAATAATTAAGATCAATTCCTATACATGAGCCCAGCTAGGAAATGAAGGGCCAGGCCGGAGCAAGTGCTAAGAGCCCAACCTTACAGGACCCTTGAAAATGGAAGGCCCAAAAAAATTAGTAGCATTGGTATTATTTATTAATACAATTGAATCTCATCTACCCATAGCCCACATATTCAATTGCAAATAACGAACTCGCATACTCCATCATATGCGCAGCGGATGAGATTCAAAATTCCATCTATAAGGCATTTATTCTTATATATTGTGGTTATTATCTTATTCTCTTTTAGAACTTTTAGTTTGGACCGGTTGCTAATTAAGTGATTAGGTTGTATAATTTATTATTGAACTAAACAAATTAGTAAATTCATATTATTGAGTTATTAGTTTTTTATTTCATAATTCCGTTTAGCAAATTAATATTGTAAGGTTATTAGGCTGTTACTTTTTTATTTAAGATGCGTTTGAAAAAGGCTTAATTTCTATTGTTGCACAGGGTCCTCATTTTCTTAGGACCGGGTCCTCGTTTTCTTAGGACTGGCCCTGAGGAAATGAGACCCTAAGCAAACAAATCTACGTTGGGAAAAAGGATGTTAACTGGTGCTACTTGAAAGCAGAAGAAGTGCTGGCTGCAAGATATAAAACTAGTAAGACATTAGAGATATAATAGAGAAAAAATATAAAACTGTCCAGAGGTTTCAAATGACAAACGTTGAAGTATTTTTGTGCACAGCAGACAATTGTATATGGCTTTCTTCATTGAAACAATTTGAAGGTCCAAGAAAAAGATTACTTTTGCACAGCCAAAATAGCCAGTGATCTTACTGGTAGTGTGAAAAGATTAAATCTTTCCCCTTTTTATTGGCTATAAACTAGTAATGAATTCACTGGTAAGCTCAATACAGAGTATACACAAAGACACAAGATCAGGGATAGGTAGAGCGACAAATAAGGCTTGCAATTCAGCCCTAGAGGAGTTAATTGGGCGTTTAAGAGTCATGTACGATCCATCTGCAGACTTCTTGACCCCTGCCCCTCAACTAAACCCTAAAAATCACGCATTATTTTACTTCTAAAACTCGGATTAACAAAATAATCAAGAATGGGAAAAACTGACAACTGGAAAAAACGATTCATACAAACACAATTATTCATCATGATTAACACTAACCATTTTCCCAAAGCAGATCACTAACCCAGAATTTTACTAAAATCGAAAAATTCAAATTTAAGCGCCTTAAGCCATGCAAACGGAGGGAAGATGTTTACCAAGAGATCTTTCAATGCAGCGCCGGACACCGATACCTGTATCTGTACGTAAGAATTTCAGCATTTATAAATTGAACTGAATTGCAGAAACAAATGATGGTGTATGTATGTGAGCTCCCTGTGAAACAGACATGGCGAGAATGCGAGATAGAGATAGAAAGTGACTGTCAGTATAATAGAGATAGAGAATGCTGCAAAACACGCTGCCTGAGAAGAAGAGGGGGTGAAACGTCTTTTGCTTGCGTAACGCGGCGTGTAAGTTGTAACAGGATGGTAATGTGTACGTGCACATCTGGCATGAGAGATAGCCACACAAATATTAGTAAATAAATTATCTTTCTCCTTATTTGAATGATTTTATACAATTTTGGTATGTTTTTCCCTATAATGTCAACTGCAATGTCAATATCTAAATGGTCTCCTTGACATTGTGGAGAAAAACTTACCAAAACTGCATAAAATCATTAAAATAAGGAAAGAAGGAATTTATTTATTAATATTTATGTGGTTATTTCTCATGCCACATGTGCACCGTGCACATTGTAACATTAGAGATGCTCTAAGGATGTTTTGATCCCGATGTAAGTATGTTCAAACTTTCCATTTCAGTCTGTCCCAATATTATCTCCTACTTTTCTATTTTAGCAACTTTTACCATATCATTTTACCATAATACTCTTACCAGCTTTATTACATCTACCCACAATTTATTCCATATACGCTCCTCTCTCTCTCTCTCTTCTGTCTGCACATATTCATCTTTCTCATCTCTTCCTGAATCTTCCTTCTCTCTCGCCTCTCTCATTCCAACACCCACTCTGATATCTTTCTTCAGTTTTTTGCACCCTCTTTTGAGAAGGCCTCCCACGGATACCAATTATAGGTTTTGTAGATCCATTAATGGCAAAAAAACGAGCCATTGAAGGTCATGCATGCTGATGCGGTGGTTGAAGACTCAGTCGATGCCTCCAGTTGGCCCAACGTCCCTGATTCTGAAGATCAGGTGACATCACCTAGGGTTGAAGACAACGCCGAAGGAGGGTGGAATGGTGATGGCGAGAAGAGAGGTTTACAACAGGGATTGGGACCTAAGGCCATTCCATCTGCCGTTGATGAATTTCTTGCCATTTACCTACGTCCAGTGGATACAATCGGTGTGGATTACGTTCTGCCTGCCCGTGCTCATCACATTCCAGATCCGCATGTAAAACGTCGTATTGATGAAATGATTGTTGAATTGCTACCTATTCCAAAAAAACGGAGGTTGTAGAGCTTTACTTAATCTTGTTTGTGATGATTACTTTCTTATGCCTACATGTTTGGACTTGCACCAATTTGTGTGTGGTCAGTTTGCTATGTGTGTGGTCAGTTTGCCTTCTGTGTATGCATTTTATGTTGTGGTTGGCTATCTCCTAAAGGCCTTAAACCCCAAAGGTCAATCCTTTGTACGCTTAAGTCCTGTGTGTGCTTTCTGTGATGATATATCAGCTTGTCTGAGAATATGGTGTATTAGTTGATGTGTTTGTGTTGTGGTTGCCTTGCTCCGGAAGGGATTAAGCCACAAAGGTCAATCCTTTGTTGTTTAAGCCCTGTGTATGTCCATTCTGTGATGAAAAGTTGTTGGGTCTGAGAATATGGTGTGTTCAAATGTGGCTATGGTCTGGATGCCTGAGTCTTGAAGGGCTTAAGCCACAAAGGTTAATCCTTTGTAGGCTTAAGCCTTGTGTGTGCGCTTTCTGTGATGATATAACAGCTTGCCTGAGAATATGGTGCATTACTTGATGTGTTTGTGTTGTGGTTGCGTTACTTCTGAAGGGCTTAAGCCACAAAGGTCAATCCTTTGTTGGCTTAAGCCCTGTGTATGTCCATTCTGTGATGAAAAGCTGTTGGGTCTGAGAATATGGTGTGTTCAAATGTGGCTATGGTATAGATGCCTAAGTCTTGAAGGTCTTAAGCCACAAAGGTTAATCCTTTGTAGGCTTAAGCCTTATGTGTAGGGGTGTGCATAAACCGGTCCAGACCGGTCCGGAGTGTACACGTCCGGTCTCCGGTCCATTCAAAATTGAGATTCTGGGTTCCGGTCCGGTCCGGGTCAACCCCGGAATAAAACAGGTCCGGACCGGTAACCTAGTTATTACTACTCCGTAGACCTGGTTATTACTACTCCGTATTATTTTTCCCGTATTGGACTAACAATGTTAATTGGGTTTGGGGCGGCATAGCCCAATAGGGTTAATTGTAAAGGTTGTACCGGTTGGACTTTTCACATTTCCGAGGCGAGTCTCCTCATATACTCGCATCCTCTCGTCTCACCTCTTTCAAGTTCCAAAGCTTTGCAGTTCGGCCATATCCAATTCCTCTCAAGCCTATAGTGTTCTACTTCTGTGAATCTATGAGTCTGTGAGATATCTCCCTGCTTTATAGTGTTCTACTACTCTGGCTCACCGCTTCCAAACTTTTGATCGAGTTCGAACTTTCTGAGTATCGGAAGTCTAAAGTCCTTCATCATCCAGGTTCAATTTATTTATTTTATATTTAATTTGATTTTTTAATTGTTATATTCTTGTATAATTAATTCCGTTTTAAGGATTAATTTGGGGTTAGGGTTTTGATGGGTAGCCAAATTTATGCATAATTAGATAACCTTAGCAGATGAGCTAGACACTTGCTCTGTTTCCCATAGAGTAGTTTCAACTTTTCCTTATTGAACATTACTTTTTTTTAAGTAAACTGTTATTTAAAAATCTATCACGTGAAATGCTTATATTTACTCTACTTTTGTGATATTCTTATATGATTAATTCTGTTTTTAAGGATTAATTTGGGGTAAGGGATTAATTCCATTTTGATCAATTGTAGTGTTTTATATGATTTTTGACTTTCTGCCTAATTTATGCCTAATAGATGAGCTTGAAAGATGTTATGTTTCCTGTAAACCTTAGATGAGCAAGAAACTTGCTCTGAACTGTTAGGACTTTGTCATGGGTGTGGTGGTTTAGATTTCGAAATTTACATATCAATTGTTAAGATTACTGCTACTAAAACTCTTGGTGAAAAGTAAATTGTAAAACGAAAAGTTCTAAAACATTTTTCATTTATTTTAATGGGTTTATGCATAGCATTATTTTCATATTTGATTTACTGTGAAATACCATGACATTTACAGATGGAGAACGCTAGCTCGAAAAAGCTCGTGGAGTGTTAAATGTCCCACACCGGAAAATTGAGAAGCACTAGAGTGCTATATTAAGGTTCGGGCTACTCCTCCTAACAGGTTGACCTTTTAGGATGGAACCCCATGTCTTAACATGGTATCAAAGCCAAATCGATCCATGGTGTGGGGCCCCTTATGAAAAATGACGACACGATAAAAAAAAATTGACGAACCGATGAAAAAATGAATGACGACACGATCCAGACGAAGTGTCTGGTCGTGAGGAGGGATGTTAGATGTCCCACACCGGAAAATTGAGAAGCACTAGAGTGCTATATTAAGGTTCGGGCTACTCCTCCTAACAGGTTGACCTTTTAGGATGGAACCCCATGTCTTAACATGGAGGGACACCAATATCTGATTAGAGAGAGTAAAAAGAGAGCATCATACTGGTCATATTTTTTTGAATATCTGGAAGGGGGGTTACTTATGGTTGAATGTAACTTTTGTGATGAAACTTTTGTTGTTGATGGTACTAGTAATGCTTCAAAAACTGTGAAGATTCATTCGGAAACATGCCTAGGTAATCCTGCTGATAAAAACATAGGGGAAGCTTGAAAAAGGCAATACAAATTAATAATTAAATATACTCTATATGCTTGTTCAGTTACAACTCTTAAAATTCTAGTCTTTGATATAATTTTTCTGTTTTGTAGAACTGAAAGCTCCAAATCTTGAGTATGATGTATGTGGAGGCGTGGGGGCATTCGCCTAGAATTTAACAATACAATTTACTAGTTTATATTTCACATTTCATGGACAACTTGGATGTAAAAAACTTGTGTGGCATTTAACTTTCATTTTGATTTTATTTTTGTAGCATCAAATCTGTAGCATGTTGCATCGGTACAGGTTGTAGGCCTAGAGCCATTGCTTTATTTCTTGCATTGTAGTAATTTGTGAAGTTCTACTAAGTACTACGTATAAACTAGGTGTTCTTTTGATAATCTTTGTTTTATATTTGAAGGAGTGATTAGTTATACTTCAAATTAGCAATATCAGATAATAGAATTTGAGAATTGATATTGTTTCATACTTACGTATAAGTAGGCTAGTAAATTACTTTGTTGGATGTGCAACTGGCATTTGATTTTAACTGAACATGTCCATTCATGTCAGAAACCGGACCGGACTGAAAAAAACAGGTCCGGACAGGTCTGGACCGGTATAGAACAGGTCCGGTCTTCGGGTCATGAAATTTTGGGATTCTGGTTCCGGTCCGGTTTTTGACCAGTGCACACCCTTACCTGTGTGTGCGCTTTCTGTGATGATATAGCAGCTTGTCTGAGAATATGGTCTGTTATTATGTGGCTATGGTCTGGATGCTTAAGTCTTGAAGGGCTTAAGCCACAAAGGTCAATACTTTGTTGGCTTAAGCCATCTGTATGTCCATTATGTGATGAAAAGTTGTTGGGTCTGAGAATATGGTGTGTTCAAATGTGGCTATGGTCTGGATGCCTAAGTCCTGAAGGGCTTAAGCCACAAAGGTCAATCCTTTGTTGGCTTAAGGCACAAAGGTCAATCCTTTGTTGGCTTAAGCCATCTTCCAGGATTCTTTGATGATAAGATGCATAGTCTGAGAATCCTATAGGCCATCTTCTAGGATTCTGTGATGCTAAGATGCATAGTCTGAGAATCCTATATGCTTAATGATGACAAAAGTGCTGTTACTCAACATTTAAGACAAAGTGCCAAGTGAGCTATTGACAATGTTTGTTTCTGTACATTACCTATATATGTACTCCAAACCCAAAAAGACAAAATATAAAAATGATCGACTGCATGTAGCCAAAAACCCAAAAACCCAAAAACCATTACACCTTGTCTTTGTTGCCCAAAAATTAAACAGAAACCAAAAACCCTAATTCCTAAGTGCTACCTACGCCTGAGTATTACTAGCCTCCAACAATTGTATGACCTCTCTCAAAGTTGTTGTGTCTGCCTGAACTGAGATAGGCAGTTGCTCAAATGTGTTCTTACCCATGTGGTGTAGTTTGTAGTTGTTATCCTTAGCAGTCAAAATCTCATTCATACACTTTTGTAGTGATAGCCACACCTTGTTTAGAGTATGAGGACAGAAGTCCTGATATGCTTTGATCACCCCTGCCACTAATTGTGGAACTGATGAACTTGGTGAGGATTGTTGTAAGGACTGAATTGCTCTGAAAAAACCCAGGTCTAGTACATTTAAATCTGGACTATTAGGTGGTTGGCATGCTAGTTTGATGTTAAATCCTTCACCTGTAGCCTCCTTCATGAACTCACTGTCATTAGGACTTATATGTGGTTTGACATTGTCTTGTTGGATATATATGTCCCCAGATGCATCAATTGGTTGACTTTGATGGCAGGCAGTACTAACCTGATGAGGCATTCTCTGTAAATGTCTTTTGTCACACCATCAATTGCCTTTTCTTGTATTGTTCCTGCTACTCTGTTCTTGCTGTTTCTTTTTGCTGGCTCAAACACAGTGAATGGGAAAATTCCAATTTTCCCATCAAATAGCACATTTGAATCTGATGAAAACCTTGGCCTAATCACAGCACAGAGGAACATCACCTTGGTGATGTATCTCTTGGACTTGCAAGTCCTGTGAAGCTCATATTCCCCTGGAAGAAGGTAGTACATCTGTGAGGTTTTGGTCATATAAAACCATTTTTCATCTACATGCACATAATTGACCATTGGCTCAAATAGGGGCTGTGTTAGTAATGAGGATCTCTGTATGTGTAAGATTACCCAGTGAAGCCTCTTTATCATATTGGACTCGGTCAGAAATGGTTTGATAGCATTGTGTGTGCTTTTAGTTCACCTTTTTGGATGAGTCTGTGCACATTGCTTTTGGGGTACCCTAAGGCAGTTGCTAGGCTCCTTATACTCTTTCTTTTGTCAAGGTCTATGTCCTTGACTTGAGTAAGAGATAGAATCCGTGATTTTCTTCCTGCCTTTCCAGCCATATGTCTGTCCACATTAATAGGTACACCGTCCATCTCACATTTCATTGCTTTCTCCCAAATGAATGAGATACACTTGCCTGACACGTTATATTCCTTTGCTAATGCAGTTCGTACGCCTCTGTTCAACTTTCCATTTGAGGAGTTCTGAAGAAGTTCCCCCAATATGAGTTGTATGATCTCATTAGGCAGTCTTTTTTTTTCTGAACACTTTCTATAATTTCCATCTTGTTTTACTCATGTGAGATTACCCATTGTGGTTCGTATATGTAGACAGCAAAGCTGCCAACTTTATTTCACTTTTGGAGGGATTAGGTTTTTTTTGGACTTACTCCCGCCAATTACTGTGGGGCAAAAAGTCAACTTTGTTTTTCTTTTCTTTGTGCGCAGCACAGAGAGGGGAAGGGAAAAACGGGCTTAAGAGGGTGTGTGGTACTGTTTAGTACCCTAAGAGGGGCAGTAAATAAATAAAGGACAAGAATGGAAAGTAGAAGCCAAAAAGTGCTTTTTCTTAAATGGTGTGCCCAGCCGAAATGGGAGAAAAAACAGGGACAGAGGGAGTATTACTTTTGTCCCTTAAAACTTTGGCAAATATGACCGTCACGAAAAATAATAAAATAAAATTGTGTGGTTGAAGTTTGTACAGAGGACAGAGAAATAACATGAATCACAAATTAATTAAAAGGGGAAGTGACAAAGTTTTTTGGGACGTTCAAAAAAAGAAAGATGACAAAGTTTTAAGGGACGAGGGATAATTGTCAAAATCTGACAAGATTTAATTTATTTGATTCTTAAGCAATCTTTTTAAATTTGATTTAAACTATTTGAACTAATCTAATTTATAAACGAAATCCATCTAATTGAAAACATTTTAAAAGATACTAAGACTGTCTAGGTATTTTTGGTCAAGTACTAAGATGTCAAATACGAAGATGGTGGATAGTAGTATTGAATGTGTAATACTGATTCTAGGTATTTATAGAGAAATAACGGATTGAGCCGCTAATATGAGTCTGATAGGCCCAACTATGTAAAATGGTTAATCTAGTAGGTACAAATTTTACTATTACATCTTACCATTATTTTTAACTAGTTACCCCAACCGTGTGTTGCACGGGATTGAAGTAGTTACATACGAATTTAGGTAAATTATGTAAAAAGTAAGAAAAAAGTTGATAGTGAAGCAATTAAATGAAAACATAAGTTAAAATAAGAAGTCATGTTCAATCTGAAATTAAAAATTAATGCTCAAAATTAAATATTGATCATGATATCGTAAATTGGTGTGCATGTTTGTCCGCGGAATTGTCAACAAATGTTATAGTATTAAATAAAGGCTCTAAAG